TAGAACTTTCGATTCTAAGGCCCTGTTTGGGAGGAATTAAAATTTTCTACAGTAAATCAATTCTCATTTTCAACCAATAAAATAATATTTTCTATCACATCAATAATTTTTTCTTCTTTTTCAACCACACATTTCCCATCCTATCACTATTCAAAATCAATTCTTTCCCCAAAAATCTCTCCCAAACAAGATCTAAATATATTATAATCACAATTTTGGTCACAATTATATATGTATAGGTCACAAATTATTGGTCACATATTTTACCAATCACATATTTCATCAATTACATATTTTATCGGTCACATATTACTTATTGGTCACGAATTATCTGCTTTATTGGTTACATATTACTTATTAGTAACAAATTAGTCAATTTATTGGTCACAATCATCCAAATTGGTCACAAACCACTTCACCACCGCACCCTACCCTAACCTTCTCCACCACCACCATCACCGCCACAACCAACGCTTTCGTTGTGCCCCACCCTAACCCCAATCCACTACAACCACCACAGCTGCCGCCAATACACCACACCTCAAATCACCACCACACCACCACCCCCTATGCCACCGTCTGCAGAATCACCACCGATCTGAAAATGTCACCACTGCTACCACGCAACACCACTGTCATTCACCATTAACCACGCACTACCATGAAATAAACACAAATCCCATAGCTACCTCCGCACAGTGCCACCACCATCAACACCAACGCGGCACGTCCACCACCACCACGTCACACATATCTATACACGTAGATCTGGATCTAACTGTGATCGAAGTTGTAGCAGCTACAGATTGACGTTGTGCAATGTGTACAGATCCAGGCAACTCTATCGTAACTACATCTCTATAGACATCACTGCTACACAAACACCGCGCTGCACACATGTTTACGACACAGCGCCGACTGAAGTCTCCTGCAGGCAGCGTTGCACCATTGCCGCTATAAGCAGTGGCTAGGCACATCAATAAGTCATCGCTACTATACGCAACAGCGCTATCTGCAGGCAACGCTGTGCACAGCGGTAGGGCTGTGAGAACTGCGGTGCTCTTCTGCCCGCGGAGCTCTCTTGGCGGCACTGTGGTCCTCCACTGATGGTGTGAGAGAGATGAGATAAGGGAGAAGGATTAGGGTTTGAATTTGAAATTGTGATGGGCGGATAGTATATGGGTTAGGTATATA